GGCTGGGTGAAAGCCCCTCAACCTTGGGGTCCAGCTCTGCCTCCTGCTCCCGGCCCACTGGAGCTAGCGTTTCTTCACTCAGACAGCTGCTGGCTGCTGCGGCTGACAAGCCCAAGGTTGATAAGTAAAAAGGCACAGTCCCGATGTTACCAAAACACACAGCAGCCAATTAATTTAAGTCCACTGTAAGTCCCAAGGTTGGCAGAACATGGCAGGCTGTTGAACAACGACACAGCTATATGCAGTGTCCAAGCATGCCATAAGCTAGAGACTATCCCCAAGGCTTCTCCTTATATACAGGAAGCAGACCACATCCCAAAGGCAGCTACTCAGCTGCTCGTGGTAGATCCCACCATGGAACTGACTGCCAGTCTCATCATGGGGAATAACTACCACCAGCTGCCTAGCTACTCAACCAAGCCCAGCCAAGTTGACACACAAACATAACCACCACAATGTGTATGTGTACACATATACACATGTGTATCTGTCAAAAACTCTATAATATTTGTCATATAGGACATACTTTTCTATTCAGCATTCACTGCCCTTGAGCAATATCAGAAACAAAAACTCTAAGTCAGTGACAAAGGTAACTAATACTCACATCACCCAGCTTTAGGCAGGTGCCCAGGCTGTGGATGACATCCTCTGCCAAGTCTGAATGGTCAGAGTCCCATACCAGCCCAATCGTGATAATCTGTGGAGCATTCATCAACACACGGCGAATCCGGATCCTCTCTCCACAGTTGCTCTGAAATATACATATAAGGACAGTTCCACATGTTTCCCACTGGCTCGGCCACAATTCCACTGATGCCAGGATTCCCCTTTCCACTCCAAACCCCACCCCTGACATAACTCACAGGGCAGTTCCGCAGATCCCCCATGGTGCTGGCATTCTGCAGCAGCTCACCAAACATACTCGGTGAAGGTTTTTCTCGTCTTTCCAACATACAAATAGCCTGATTGCTTCAAGATGGAGAATAAAAGGGGAATGATGGTAGGACATTTACAGCTACATCAACTAAATCACTCATGCAAATATCTAACTCACATATTTGACTTTGTTTCTGTCCCATTATAACAAAACCTCTTGTCCTGACCAGATTTAGCATCCCACAAAGACAGTGAGTGCCTCTGCCTATCCCAAAACGCATAGAAACTTCATTTCCCATACCACTTTCCTGGCCAGACTTAGTTAAGAAATGGGGGTGGGGAGGGAATAAAGAGGGCAAAGGGCTATTTTTAAACTGTTGTTCTGAGTCCTACAAGAAAGCATATACTCAGCAATAAGCCATTTGGATGCCTTCAGTTAAAACTCAATCTCAACTGGAGAAAAAACAAAACAATCAACTAGATGAGTACCTAAGGGTACAAACAGAGATCCTTGTAAGACTCACCAAAGGGAAGTGGTGGAGATGTAATGTACCATCTGGATGAAAGGCAGTGGATCAGAAGTGGCACCACAGCTAGTACATACACACTGGTCCCAGCGAGAGAAAAGCAAAACCAAGCATCTATAATCATTAACTGTTTTGACACCTATGTGACACCCCACATCCCAGGATAATGTGTGCTTGAAGAAAAGATGTAAGAAGAGATGGGGAAAGAAATAGTGTTTCACCTGCTCAAACAACGTCATTGCAAATTTTTGGTGAGAGATGCAATGTGGAGCAGTACATATATCCTCTTTGGTTTCATCAGCAATATGGAAGTGAATTCTCATCAGGAGATTTTCCTAACAGAGAAAGAACAAGAGCAATACAACAATGTCAGGCAAATGACAAATCAACAAATTGGTAAGCAGTTCATTCAGAGAAAAAACCCTCCTGGAAGGTAGGAATATTTTTGTTCGTTTGTTTTAATTAAAAATTTATTATTATTATTATTATTTTTTTTTTTATTAAATTTTTAAACAGGAAGTTGCAAAAATATACCAGGAGGTCCCATGACCCTTTACCCAGTTTCTTCCAATGGAAACAGTTTACATAACTGTAATATAATATCAAAACTATGAAATATGGACATGGATACAATCCACAGAGTTTATTCAGATTTCACCAGTCTTATATACACTCATTTGTGCGTGCAGCTCTGTGCAATTTTATCACATATATAGATTTGTGTAACCACCACCACAATCAAGATACAGACCTGTCCTATCACCACAGGCTCCCTCAGGCTACCCCTTTATAGCCGTACCCAATTCTCATCCCTAATCCCCGGCAATCTAATCTTCTTTCCTTCTCTATAACTTTGTTATTTCAAGAATGGAATTGTAAATAACCTTTTTATATTGGTCTTTTCACTCAGCATAATTCCCTTGAGATCCAGCTAAACTGTACTATGTGAAACAATAATTTATTCCTTTTTATTGCTGCTTAGTATTCCCTGGTATGGATGTGCCACAATTTATTTAACCATTTGCCCACTGAAGGACATTTGGATTGTTTCTATCTGGCTATCACAAATAAAGATGCTATAAACATTCATGTGTACAATTTTTTGTTTGTTTGCTTTTTGAGGCACTAAATAGATTTATTTATTTTTGGATTTTTTTTTTTTTTTTAATTGTGATTTGGGTGAAAGTTTACAGAGCAAATTCATTTTCCATTCAATAGTTCATACACATTTTGTTTCATGACATTGACTGCAATCCCCACAATGTAACAGCTCTCTTCCCACTTCTTTCCTACACATTTCTGCCCTCTGAACTATCTCCCTTGTGATCTGCCATTTTGACCTCCCACGGTTGATCATTCTAAGGAGTATATATATCGACCTGGTGTAACTGTTCACCTTGTAGGCCTGTCATGTATAGGTTTTTGCAGGAACATAAGTTTTTACTTCTCTGGGATAAATAACCAAGAAAACAAGTGCTGGGTTGTGTGGTAGGTACATGTTTAGTTTTATAAGAAACTGCCAAGCTGTTTTCCAGAGTAAAATGTACCATTTTACATTTCTACCAGAAATATATCCCTTACCTAGTTTCTCAGGAGTACTTCTGATTTTGGCCCACATTTAAACCTATGATGGGATGTATATCACTCTCAGATTCTTTTGTTGTTGTTGTTCCCCCCCATCCCTGGTAACCAACAAAGAAATGTTCCTTCCATATATAAACTTTCCTTGACTTTTTACAATAATGAACTAGTACGTATTTGTCCTTCTACACTCTTAGATTTTTAAATGCCTGCATAAAAAGGGGTTTTTTTAAGTTGATGGATAGATTCCAGCATTCAGAAGAATCAAAGACTTTTATTAAAAGTCACTGGGGCAATGTAGGAACCTAGAACATCACACATATGCTAGGGATTCAGTTATTCCCTCTTTAATTATCTTTAATGAGGTAGGTGTTCTCAAAGTATTGTCCCCAGGCCAGCAGCATCAGTATTACTTGTTAGAGATGGATACTCTTTAGCCCCAGTCCAGAACTACCAAGTCAGAAACTTAGAGGGTGAGGCCAGAAATTTGTTTTAATGAGGCTTACTGACTCTGAAAGTGAGTGCTCCTATTTTATGCAATGGCAAGCACAAAATTACCCCAAATTTGAAGAAGAATAAACCCAATAGAAAATTTACACAATAGCAGAGACACTCTAGAGCTCTAAGAAGCTAGAGATACTTCTGATCTAGAGATCAGGGCATAGGAAATATCATGGGAAAGGAGCCAGTTCTTGATGGAGGCCATCAACAGTCCCATTTCATTTCAAAGAGGGTCAGAGGCCAGGCACTTACAAAGCACTCCGCAGCATCATCCATAATTCCCAGCTGGAAACGCTGTTCATCCTGGAAAGTCTTTGCCAGAGCACTGCGGAGAGTGTCAGATGGAAGGACTTTTTCACTACTGCACTGAAACTGGTTAAATATTCCCTGTATGGAAGAGGTTAGACAAGAGAAAAAGCACAATACTCATTTATTAAGTTTCTATATACCCAAGTCTGTCATGCTAGCATCTCCATGCTGATAGGTATGGAAATCAAATGTACTTCCCATGGGTAGATATACTTTTAGTTAGTAATAAAATTTAAAAAAAAATAACCTCAAGGGTCAGAATGAAGGGTATGATCATTCCAAAAAGGATCTCACTCTTGCAGCTGAAGGTGCCTCACACTCACCAATCTAAGAACCTATTTGCTACACAACCACAGTAGTCAAAACAGCCTGGTACTAGTAAGACAACAGACACATAGATCAATGGAACATAACTGAAAACCCACAGGTAAACCCACCCGCCTACAGATCTTCAACAAAGGACTGAAATCCATTAAATGGGGGAAAAAGAGAGTCTCTTTAACAAATGGTACTAGCTAAACTGGATATCCATTTGCAGAAAAATGAAACAAGATTCATACTTCACACTGTGCACAAAAACTAACTCAAAATGGATCTAAGACCTAAATGTAAAACCTAAAACCATAAAGATTATGGAAGAAAAAATAGGGCTAATGCTAGGGGCCCTAATATAAAGGACAAATAGCATAATAAACAAAGTTAAAAATGCACAAAGAATAGAAGATAAATTAGATAGCTGGGATCTCTTAATAAACAGCTATGTTCATCAAAAGACACTGCCAAGAGTAAAAAGATAATTTAAAGACTGGGAAAAATTTTTGGCTACAACACATCCAACAAAGGTCTAATCTCAAAAATCTATAGAAAACTTCCAACATCTCGACAACAAAAAGACAAACAATCCAAAAGATACCAAAAAGACACCAAGAAGACATTCAGGCAGCTAATAAATACATCAAAAGATGCTCATGAACATTAGCCATTAAAAAAACCCAAAAAACTGGCCATAATCACAGGGGACATCAAGCTCAATTGGCATAACATACTACACAAAACATTGTTCCACTTCTTACATTTGCGAGTAGCAACTGGGATCTTAAAAGCTTGTAAGCAGCCATCTAGATGCAACGATGGTCTCTCCTTGTCCAGAGCAAAGAAGAATGAAAAAAACCAAAGATTCATGAAAACAATTAGTCCTCATGACCAGTACACCATGCGATCCTCAGCCTATATGACTATGAGACCAGAAGAACTAGATGGTGCCTGGCTACCACTGTCAACCACTTGGAGGGGGATCTATGGAGGCGATCCTAGATAGAGAGGGAGAACAATGTGGAACAAAACTCAAAATCATTTGGGAGGGGAAAAAAAAAAAAAAAGGGAACCAGGTTTGCTGGTCTGATAGAGCCTAGTGGAACCCCTGAGACAATGGTCCCTAGCTGCCCTTTAGGTCTGGAATTGAACCCACACCTGTGAATTTCAGCCAAACAAAAGACAGGCATAAGAGTTGAACATGTACCTGAGGTAGATACACCCCTTGGAGAGAACAATCATGGGAGAAAGAGGGGCTGTTTATGCACAGGGAGACAGTTCAGGGGGCAGGAGTGCATGAAGGGATGTACACAGGGAAGAGGTAACTATCGGGAGGAAGTGGGAGGGGAGCTATTCCATTGGGGTAAGTTGTAGTCAATGTTATGAGACAAAGTGAACGGCTGTATGGAAAGTGAATTTGTTCTATAAACTTTCACCCAAATCACATATTAAAAAAAAAAAAAAAGATTTCTTAAAAAAAAAAAACAAACTCACTGCCACCAAGTTGGATCCGACTCATAGTAACCCCTCCTTGGGTTTCCGAGGCGGTATCACTACAGAAGTAGATTGCCCAATCTTCCTTCCAAGGAGTGGCTGGTGGGTTTGAACCACCAGCTTTCTAGTTAGCAGTCAAATGCCGTAGGCACTACGCTACCAGAGCTCCCACATTAGCCATTGCTGTTGCTGTTGTGTGCCGTTGAGGCAGACCCTGACTCATAGCGACCCCTCCTTGGGTTTCCGAGGCAGTATCACTACAGAAGTAGATTGCCCAACATTAGCCATTGTTGTTGTTGTTGTTGTTGTTGTTGTTTGTAACCACCAGCCTTCTGGTGAGCAGTCAAGTGCCTTAGGCTCCTACATTAGCCATTAGAGAGATACAAATATAAATCAAAACTACAAAGAGATATCATCTCACTCTAGCAAGAATGGTATTAATTAAAAAAGAAAACACAGACCACCACATGCTGGCAAGGTTATAGAGAAGATGTAATTCTTATACACTGCTAATGGGACTGTAAAATGGTACAATCACTATGGAAAACAATCCAGCTCTTCCTTAAAAAGCAAGAAATAGAAATACTATGATCCAGCAATCTCACCCCTAGATATATATCCCAGAGGTGGTGTAGTGCCTAAGGCATTTGCTGCTAACCAGAAGACTGGCAGTTGAAACCCACTAGCCACTCCTCAGAAGGAAGACTGGGCAATCTAATTCCATAGAGATACTGCCTTGGAAACCCAAAGAGGGGTTGCTACGAGTCAGAAATGACTCGATGGCAGTAAGAGAAATAAGAGTGGTGATAAGAATAGACTTATGAATAGAGCTAACAGGGCAAAGCTATGATCACTTCTTAGCCACAGCCAAACACCCTGAGAGTGTGGGTCACAGGGCCCACAAGTTCAGGACCATGGTCATGAGGGACATCAAGTTCAATTGGCATAACATATTATACAAAAACATTGTTCTACATTTTACTTTGGTGAGTAGCGACTAGGGTCTTAAAAGCTTGCAAGCAGCCATCTAAGATGCACAACTGGTCTCTCCTCGTCTGGAGCAAAGAAGAAAAAAGAAAACCAAAGACGCATAGAAACAATTAGTTCAAGGGACTACTGAACCATGTGGACCTCAGCCTACAGAACCCTGAGACCAGAAGAAGTAGATAGTGCCTGGCTACCACTGTCAACCACTCAGAAAAGGATCAAAATAGGAGATTCTAGATAGAGTGGGAGGAGCTCTGGTAGCTCAGTGCCTAAGGCACTTGACTGCTGACCAGAAGGCTGGAGGTTCAAACCCACCAGCCACTCCTCAGAAGGAAGGTTGGGTAATCTACTTCCATAGTGTTACTGCCTCGGAAACCCAAGAAGGGGTCGCTATGAGTCGGGTCCAACTCGACAGCAAATAATAACAACACTTCCATAGTGCTACGCCTCGGAAACCCAAGGAAGGGTCATTACGAGTTGGATCTGACTCAATGGCAGTGAGTTTTGTTTAGTTTCTTTAGATAGAGTAGGAGAAAAATGTGGAACAAAATTCAAAATCATAAAAAGACTAGGTTTACTGGTCTGATAGAGGCTGGTGAAACCCCTGGAACGAAGGCCCCTAGTCAGTTTTTTTAGCTTGAGAAATGCCGTGCATGTTCTTCCCTTTTGGTTTTCTAACTCCAAGTCTTTGCACATTTCTAAGAAATTACTTAGATACTGGAAATGAACCACTGGACCCTGGACCTGAAAGCTAAGGACAATAGTCTCAGGGGACGTTTAGCTCAACTGACAAAACACAATTTATAAAACTAATATTTTACAACCAAGTCTGGTGAGTAACATCTGGGGTCTTAAAAGGTAGCAAGCAGCTACCTATGAAGCAACTATTGGTGTCTGTCTTCCCCTTGGAGCAAAGGAGAATGAAGAAAAATGAAGACTCAAGCAAGAAATTAGTCCAAAGGACTAATGACCCACATGAACCACAGCTTCCTCTAATCTGAGACCAAAAGAACTAGATGGAGCTGAGCTATTACTACTGATCGCTCTGATCAAGACCACAATAAAAGGTTCCAGTTATAATGAGTAAAAAATGTGGAAAAACATTTAAAAGAAAAAAAAAAAAAAAGACGAGACTTAGTGGTCTGAAAGAGACTAAATGAATACATGAGACTATAGCCCTGAGATAACCTTCTAACTTAAAACTGAAGATACTCCCAGAGGCCACCTTTCAGCCAAATAACACACAAGAATATAAAACAAATACCACCACCTGTGAAGAATATGTTCCTTAGAACAATCAACTATAACAGACCAAAAGGGCAACATTTTTCCAAAACCAAAGATGAGAAGACAGGGAGGGACAGGGAAACTCAATGAATGGAAATAGGGAACCAGGAAGGAAACAGGGAGAGTGCCGACACACTGCAGGGATTGCAAACCAATGTCATGGAACAATTTCTGTATGAACTAACTTGCTATATAAAGTTTCACCTGAAGCACAATAAAATGTTACAGAAAAAGAAAGAGAAAACAAAGGAGGCAATGCCAGCTTATACTTCTCCCAGTAAATGACTATAAATTTCTCCATATCCTTGTCAGTAATTAATACTGTCAGACACTTTAATTTTAGTCTTTATGACTACATTTAGTCTTTCTGATACCTTTGTATTATTTGTGGTAAACATCTTCTCCCAATTACTGACCTTGGTTACAGTGACTTTTGATACACAGCAGTTTTAATTTTGGTGTAATTAAATGTAAAATGTGTCTATCTTCTGATAAATGCAATGTCCAGAAAATGAAAACAGTGGCAACAAGTGACACCTGGCTTGATTAACTCCTTCTCAAATGGCACTGAACCCTCCCCACAGAGTCTAGAATATACTACTTGACATCATGTGGCCTAGGTCCTAACTACACGACCCAGGTAATCAATTCAATCAGCAATGAATTACATATCAAAGGGCCAGAAGAATGTCACTCATTTGAAATTCTTGTTAATAATTTCTTCATATAAAAAATCCCAGTATTGACTGCTGGTGGGACTGTCAAATGATACAACCACTGGGGAAAGCAATATGGTGATTCCTTAAAAAGTTGGAATTAGAAATACTATTCAACCCAGCAATTCCATTACTAGGTATATATTCTAAAGAAGTGAGAGCCAGGACAAGAACAGATATATGCACACCCATGTTCATCACAGCACTATTTACAATAGCAAAAAGATGGAAACAACCTAGGTGCCCATCAACAGAAGAATGGATTAAAAAAACTATGGTACA